GCCACCTCTGTCACCGCACTCTCTGGGGGGGTTTGTGTTGGGAGGGTGTGGGGAAGGAAGGGGGACAAAGGAAAATGAGCACCATCAGTTGAGCCATCTCCCCTCAATGCGCAACCTCAAAACTCGCCTGGGTCGACGGAGAGGAGAGAGGGTGACCAGGAAAACGAATTCAGCGACAGACTTTGAAGAGACTCCTGCCGGCGCGCTCCAGCACTCACACCTGTCAATCGCTTCTTATCGGATGCGCTCCAACGGTCAGACCGACAGGGAGGCGGGCGAGCGAGAAGGCGGTTCGCGCGTTTTTTTTTTTTTTTTTTTTTAGGTGTCGGACCTGCTTCATGAAGCGAAGAGAAGGAATGCGAGCAATAGAAAAGGTCGAGCAACTCGAGGGTGATTGCCCTACCAGTGGCGATTGATAGTCTCATGAACCTACTCCAAGGTGGGGCGACTCGAGGGTGACCCAAAGTGTGTGCCCGTCAACACTCTCATTGTCCTTCCAGTAATTCAAGGGTGAGACTCGAGGGTAACTCGAGAGTGTGTGTCCTACCAGTGTCGATCAGCGTGCCGTCCAGGTCGGAGATAACGTGCGTGATCTTCGCGTCGGATAACGACCTGCCAGCTGGACCAATGACGGTGACCGTGCTCTCCGTTTCTGTGGGAGCCGCTCCCTCGCTCTCGTTTGCCATTGCGGGAGCGCGTCGCGAAGCCACGTGGCGCGCTACGAAGGAAGAGCCATAGCAGAAGCACGAGCTGTAAGGTATGGAGTATCGGGAGAAATCTAGGCTCAGGAGAATCTAGAATCAGAAGAATCTATGCTCGTTGCTGAATTTCGAACCTAGGGAATTTGGCAAGTGGGCTGAATAGCACAAAGTTCCCTGTGTTCATCGATTTTGCCGTACTCAACTCACAGAACCCTGCTCAAATGTTCGGAAACGCACTGTACCTCGAACAGCTTACAGAAAGTGCTGATTTGGAAAACGTCATCATGCGTGGACATACGGTACTACCAAACGGTCGTCCCTGGTACCACTTTGGACCAGCTATTAACCGCGCTGGAACTTTGGTTGGGTATATTCTTGGACTTGAACTCTTGAATCATTTGTGTATTCTGCGTACCACTAAACGCTACGGTACATGCTGTTTCCCAGATACCCTTACGACCTTGGTTCATACGTAAGAGAATAAATGTTTGACAATGTATATTATAACACTACGGAAAGTGTATCCCAGAATACGGAAGTGATGCTATCACTGTCACTCCCCTCTAAATAGACCGCTGGCAAATAACAGCATTTAAGACATTTGCCAAGCTTGTTGTCAGTTGTTGCATTGCGATACTCTGGCCACAAAATAATAATGGCGCAGCTCCCCCCGCCTGTAGAACAATAACATGGGCGCCTCCACCACCTCCAGCTAGCGAATCAAATCCTGTGTGCACTTCGCCCCAAGTCCCCAAACAGAACGAGCAAAGGCACGGACGGAAAATTGCGTACACCAAGCCACCACTGCAGCAATTATTTATTGAAATAGGTTCACTTATCAGCTCACCGCCACCCCCTGGTGCTTGAGAATCTCCCCCACCAAATCCCCCCTGCCCGACCCCACATAGCGCCCCAGCAGCTCGCCCCGCCGGTAGAACAGAAACGTGGGTGCCTCCACCACCCCCAGCTCGCGGATCAAATCCTTGGTGCACTCAGCCGAGTCTCCGAAGAAGCGGGCGAAGACGGCATGGCCGGCCATGCGGTGGGAGAGGTTGAGCACGGTTTGGTGGATGCGCACGCATGGACCGCAGAAGGTGAGCGTTGCTTCGATGACCACTAGCATGTCCGTGTCCTTGTGCGTCTGCGGGGAGGGGATACGGTGGAGAGGTGGGGCATGGAAGAGGTGGGAAAGAAGGGATGAAGACGGCAGGGCCGGCCATGCGGTGGGAGAGGTTGAGCACGGTTTGGTGGATGCGCACGCACGGGCCGCAGAAGGTGAGCGTTGCTTCGATGACCACTAGCATGTCCGTGTCCTTGTGGGTCTGTAGGAGAGGGGGGATAAGGCGGGGAGGGGGTATGGCGGGGAGGGGGTATGGCAGGGAGGGGGTAAGGCGGGGAGGGGATAAGGTGATGAACGGTTTGGTGGATGAGCACACAGGGACCGCAGAAGGTGAGCGTTGCCTCGATGACGACTGGCATGTCCGTGTCCTTGTGCGTCTGTGGGGGCAAGGGGGGGACATGGAGCTCAGTGGGAGATGGATGCAGAAAGCACCAGCCACAGAATGGGAGACTGAATCTCATCACCATTGATACTGCCACTGTTGGATTGGCATGTGACTGTAAACTTCTGACACGTCTCAATATCTACCATGAGGTTTCCAGGCGTCTTAAGACCAGCCATGACCTTGTGCAGACTGTGTTTTCTCAAAATATTTTCCCCCGCTTCCCCATTTCCACAACCCCTTTTTACCCCGATCCCCCTCTTCCCCACCAAACCCCCCTGGTACAATGAGCGCGTAGAACTCTTCCGCGGAGTAGTACAGCAGCTCCGCGTGCAGCACGTTGATGTACATAGTGAGCCCCGCACATCTCCCCCTTCTCCCCAACCCCTATCCCCAACCCTCTCTCCCTTCCCCTTCCCCTACCCCCTTCCTCCTCCCCCCTATCCCCTCCTCCTTCCCCCTTCGTCTTCCCCTTCCCCTTCCCCCCACTCTCCGTACCTAAATCAGCGCGCGGAACTATTCCGCAAAGTGTGCCCTTCCGCGGAGTAGTACAGCAGCTCCGCGCCCAGCACGTTGACGTAGATAGTGAGCCCCGCACATCTCCCCCCTCTCTTTTTCCCTTACTCTTCCCCCTATCCCATATCCCCTTCCTCAGCCCTCTTCCCCTTCCCCATCATCCTATCTCTATCACCTCCCCCCTCCCTTCCCCATGCCCTTCTTCTTCCCATTCCCCTTCCCCCCAACCCCCCCTACCTCAATGAGCGCGTGGAACTCTTCCGCGGAGTGCACCTCCAGCACGGGCCCTTCCGCGGAGTAGTACAGCAGCTCGGCGCGCAGCCGCTCCGCGTCCATCCCCGCGTCCTCGTGCACGCGCTGCCCCTCGCGGAACAGCACGTACGACGGCACGCGCGCGCACTGCATGCTCTGCGCCAACCCGCGCAGCTCCGCGCTCTTGTCCGCGAAAATGCGCAGGAACACCGCGTTCGGAAACATCCGCGCAGTTTCTACGAGGGTATTGTAAATCCGGTCGGTATTTGGGAGGGTAGACATAGTAGTCTCGACCACTGCGAGTCGCCCTTTGTTCTTAGCCTCCGCCATCAGCCGATCGAATTCATCGCGGCTCGAGAGGGTTATTACGCGCGCCGCCGCGGCCTCTAGCGCGGCAGCCTCCCGCTCGGATGCTTCCGCGGGCTCTGGGGAATTCGTGGCGGACGAAGGCGCATGCGCGCCGGTGGTGCGCGTGGCGGCGTCGGCGGAAGATTGCGCGCGGGGGGGGACTGAAGCGCGCCGAGCGGGGAAGGAGGTGGCTATGTGCGGAGCGATAGCACTCGGGAAGGTTGGGGAAAGCAGAGAGCGGCGGAGATCCAGAGAGCGTGCTGACGTGGCGCGCGGGAGCATGGCACCAGCAGGAGCTGTTGTTGCTAGGCCGCTGCAGCATGCGACTCGGTGAGCCATGACTGGAGCGCGGATTGAAGTCGACAGATTTATCGAAGTGTGGTGCGCGGCGGGTTCGGCGCGAGTGCAACCACCAGTAACCACCAGTCCGTCCGTTGTCCAACAACTTCGTGGATGATAAAGCAGCTGGGAAGGAAGCCGTTTGAATTAGCGCGCGGAGATTGGGAGGTGAAAGAGCACGTCAATCCTAGCAGCTCGAACAAATGCAACTACAGTACATCGGCGTCCTGCTATGGTTACGAAACGACTGGGCTGTCAGAAAGAGCTTGGGCTGACAGAACAACTGGAGCTGTGCTGAGGTGGAAACCTCGTTATGCCTCATTACCAAGCTCAAACGTTTATATTTTTAAATGCACCGTGGTAAACCGTACTGCAGTGAACTTCAATAGCATGCTCTCAACCTTGAAACTCTGATTACGGCGGATTCATGCTGGCTCATGGCATATCGCGAACTTTGTTCTGATTGGTTGGGAGAGCTCAAAGGGCTATTCTTCGCCCATCCAACATCCTGCGCGTGTCCAGCAGGCTTCCGAACGAATCCGAACTGAAGGAGAAATCGGCGCGCTGTGCAGGCTTAGGATTGCAGGGTGCTTTACCCTGATTTCAGGGTGAGGTATTCCGGGCGCTGGACTATAAAAATCGGCGCAGCCCTGCCACAATTTTTCCGAGCGTCACCCTGCCATGTGGCAGGTGGTCCAAAAACTATGAAGAGCCCGTGTGTTGTGGCCCCGCTGGTATGACCACGATTATCTGCGAGGAGCTGGGAGGGGAGGGGCTGGGTTTGTTTCTGGTAAATAGCACCCACGTACAGGAAAACTCGTGAATGGAGCTTCAGTTTGTATGAGGTATCCAAGGGAGCAAGGGAAACTTGACATATATAATAGATAAGTTTTCTGGCAGTTCGGCTGATTCGAGTCTGACGTGGACGATGCCCACCCACGCTGCTCCCATTATCGCGCGATTCCGTTACCTAATTGCCAGTAGCAGCCGCGGAAGTGCCAACCTGGACGCAATCGATGCTTCTGCGCGAACTGCATTCCTATGAACTAGAGCTCAGCCTGCTACACGTTACAGCACTTCGCAATTGATGCAAGTTCTGTAAACAACAATCAAACCGCATTAAAAGAATGACTATGCATCCATGGATACAACAGCCTGATGAGAACCACTGAAGATGTGTCAGTAATGATACTTGACCAACAATGAGCGTTCAGCTGTAGGATCATACCATAAGCATACTGCATCATACCGTATAGACATTAGAAAAACAGGATATTCCAACCCAACTTCTTGTAAACAATCTCTGCATCATCTTTACAGCAAGTCAAACAGCTCCACCATACTACAGCAGCAGCTGCGGCAGGATCGGTCTAAGAGTATTGAATGGAACAGCAGGAGCCGTTTCTTCAGCCTCCATAGCTCGCCTGAAACACTCTGCAGCAGCACCCACATCCCCACGCCCTCTCTCCACCAATCCCAGCACATGCCATGCGCGTGCATCAAACCCATCACCAGATACCACCTCCCTCAGGTACACCTGCGCCATATGCAACCACTCCCCGCCCATCTGCAGCAGCAGGGCTCCCAGCCGCGCCTTGCTGGCGGCATGCCATTGGTCAATGGCCAAGGCACTGCGGTAGCAGGCCAGGGCCTCCTCGGGGCAGCCTCTTGCCTCTTCTAGCATGCCTGGAGGAATGAGAGAGAGAGAGAGAGGATGTGAAAGTGGGGTTATAAGGGTGAGGAGGGAGGGGGGATGGAGCGGACCAATGGCCAGGGCCTCCTCCGGGCAGCCTTTCGCCTCTTCTAGCATGCCTGGACGGTGTTTTGAGACGTCTCAAAACCTCTTCTAGCATGCCTGGAAGGTGCGAGATTGGGGATGTGAGAGTGAGGAGGGAAGGGGGGAGGGGCCGGTCAATGGCCAGGGCAATGCAACAGCAGGCCAGGGCCTCCTCGGAGCAGCGTCTCACCTCTTCTAGCATGCCTGGGGGGGGAAGCGGGAGAGGGGATGAGAGGGTAGCGATGTGGATGATCACGTGAGAGTGAGGGTGTGGGTGTGGGGGGGAGGGGTGGAACGACCAGTTGATGGCCAGGGCACTGCGGTGGCAGGCCAGGGCCAGGGCCTCCTGGGGGCGGGATCTTGCTTGCATCTTCTGGCATGCCTGGGGGAGTGTGGTGTGATGTGAGGGTGAAACAGGAGGGGGCGACGGATAGGTTGATAGTCATTGCACTGCGGTAGCAGGCCAGGGCCTCCTGGGGGCAGGATCTTGCATCTTCTAGCATGGCTGGGAAGTGGGGGAGAGAGAGGACGTGAGAGTGCTGATGTGTGGGGAGGGAAGGACGGAGGGACTGGTTGGTGGACAGTGCAAAACGGTAGCAGGCCAGGGGCCTCCTGGGGGCGGGATCTTGCGTCTTCTAGCATGGCTGGGGGGGTGTGGTGTGGTGGGGGGGTGAGACAGGAGGAGGAGGGGGAGAAGGATTGGTTGATGGCCATTGCAGTGCTGTTGCATGCGAGGACCTTATGAGAGTGGGGTCTCGCTTTTTCTCGCATGCTTAGAAGAGTGAGAGACAAGAGGATGACAGAGCGAGGATGTGAGAGTGAGAACGTGAGAGTGAGGAGGGAGGCAGAGAGGGATTGGTCGAATGGCAGGTGCTGCAGTTGCAGGCAAAGGCCTTGCAGGGACAGCATTTTGCTTCTTCTAGCATGCCTGGAGGGGTGAGGGCGAGGAGGGAGCGGGAGAGGGGCCGGGGCGGGGACGAGGGGAAGCGGGGCAGGGAGATAACATCTGGCAGGGGACTCCTGGGAGCTGCGTTTGGGAGCTGCGTTTGGGAGCTGCGTTTGGGAGCTGCGTTTGGGAGCTGCATTTTGGAGCAGCGTTTGGGAACGTCTTACCAAGTCAGGGGGGCCCAACCGCCTCCTATCCTATCACACCCTTGCGTTTTTTTAGTTGACACAACACAAACAGTAATAGGCCTGGGGCTCCAGACCACCTACTGCCCTCCCCCGTCGTAAGTGGGAAGCATCCTCGATTGAATCAGTCTTCCCGCTTACCACAAACAATAATAGGCCACCTCAAACACAACACAAACAATGTTAGGCCTGGGGCTCCAGACCACTTACTGCCCTCCCCCCTCTATCACACCCTTTTGCTTTCCGAGGGTTTTTTTTTTAGAGTTTAATAGAAAAGAAGTCTCGAGGTACCTACAACCTACTATCCTATTACACCCTTCTGTTCCTGAGCACCTACTGTCCTATCCCAACACACCAATTTGTATCGAACTGGGGTTCCAAGTTTCAATTCAACCACGCTACTAGCATATCACTTCCCTCCATGACTCACCCGCCACCATCCACGTGTCAGCAGAGTACGGGTCCAGTGTCTGACACTTGCCCACACAAAGGTCGGCATCTGCCGCCCGCCCGCCGGCCAGATACGCCTCCGCCAGGCACTGCCATACCACTGCCTCTGTCACTGAGCCGCCCTGTGTATGTGTGTGGGGGGGGGGGAAGCATAACAGAATTCGTCGGGAGAACGTATGCTGGCACCACTAATTTCTTGAGTCAACTAAAAAAATCAGATACGCCTCCGCCAGACACTGCCATGCCACTGCCTCTGTCACTGAGCCGCCCTGTGTATGTGTGTGTGGGGGGGGGAAGCATAACAGAATTCGTCGGGAGAACGTATGCTGGCACCACGAATTTCTTGAGTCAACTAAAAAAATCAGATACGCCTCCGCCAGACACTGCCATGCCACTGCTTCCGTCACTGAGCCGCCCTGTGTAGGGAGGGGGAAGAGGATTATTTGGAAAAATGTATGCTTGAATGCTTGTAGCCACAAATTCCCCCGGTTGTCCAATGAGCAATGCTTCCACCAACCATGATATGCATCATGCAGTGTACCATGCTATATGCTTCTTCTCTCCCTCCCTTCACCCTTCACTCCCTGCCTCCCTCCCTCCCTGCCCCTGTCTCTCACCATGTCGCCTCGCTTCTGTCGTGACTGCACAGCAGCCATGGCTTGCTTCAAGCTCTCCACAGCCTCACCAACGCCTGCACTCACACCACCGCTCCCATCCGCCCCGCCTCTGCCTTCCCCTTCCCCCACCTCTCCCCCTAGCTCCCCACTCGCTAGGTGCACCTTAGCGTGCAGCACCAGCAGCGCTGCCCTTGCGCCCTCCCCTTTCTCCCCCCCATCCACTCCCCCTCCCCCTGCGCCCCCCGCTCCCCCCGCGCCCCCCGATTTCTTCATGGCGGCTTCCCCCACGCGGCACATGTCTTCCGCGTCTTTGAATCGCTGCTGACACGTCAGCAGCAGCGCCAGCAGCTGCCACGTCAGCAGCCACTGTCCGCCGCCGGCTTTCAGAGCGCGCTTGGCGACTTTCAGCGCCTCGCTGACGTGGCGCTGCTCGGCCAACGCGAGCGCGAGATCTACCATTATAGCTGCTGACGTGGCATCTTCTTCTGACGCCTGGGTTAGCGACTGAACGGCGCTCTTAAGACTCAGCTCACGCCGAGCCGCGGAGATGTAATGGCTGCGCGAGTGTAGCAGGAGATTAACTCCCAGCGCGTGGAGCGCCTTAGCGCGCTGCGGGCCGCTGCTGGCAGCGAGCTCGACGGCGCGTTCGCCGTAGCGCACGCCCTCTTCGCTCCACGTGTCACGCCGCGCGCAAATCACGGACGCGAGGACAAGAGACGGAACGTGGTCGGGCCGCTCTGAAGGCTGAATCGCGTTTCGGACAACGTCTAAAGCAAGCGCCTCGTCGCTACTATTGTCGTTAATATCCCCGCCTCCCGCAGCGTCATTTGCGCCACCCGCGGGGGAGCTTGCGGGGTCCGCGGGGTTGGCGGGGCCACCCGCGGAGGCGGATACAGCTGCGCGGAAATGCGCGCGCGCAAGGCGGAAGAAAAGGTCGCTCCGCGGAACGGCGTCGGGCGGAAGCGCGAGGAGATCCGCGACAGACTCCGCGCCCCCGTTGACCTCCGCGCCGAGCCCTAGCCCGTCCGCGGGACCGCCCATGGCGTCAGTGGGGAGGGGACAGGGCCGCGCGCAAGCAGGCACGGGCGGAAGGAGAGGAGCAGAGAGCCAGATGAATAGATGGACAATGGGCGGCGACGAATGCCTTGCCTCAAAACAATGACTCTCCAAGAAACGGCAAGCGCGTGAACGCGAGAGTTTTTCTCCCCCCTGCTGCACCGGGGGGCACTGGCTGTACTCGAATCGCAGTAACTTCGAAACGACCAGGCCGCAGCGTGTTAGATTGCACAGCTACTATGCAAAAATGATCCAAATTTGGAATCTTGTATTGCGGGCCGTGACGCTGTGTGAACTAATAGTTGACAAGGAGGGGTGGAGTGGGTTTGAGAACGATGGCGAGAGTTTGGAGCGTTTTGCCTCGGTTGACTAGGAGCCAGGGTGCCAAGTGGAATCGGGATCGAGCAGAGCAGATGTGACAAGGAGGAGAGAATGAACGACTTCGATACAAGTGGTTTGCGTTAAAAACAAGGCTATGAGACCATGCACATCACTCATACTTGGATTCAAACTGCACTTACGCAATTCAAGGTGAATGACAGGAGGTATGAATTGAAGTTTCCACTTTGTCAAGTCATCAGAAACATACTCTAACAACCCCTGTTTCTCCTTCACCCGGCCTTGCTCGGCCTTCCCACGGCAAGCACCAACGCCCACACCTCCTATCATCCTTCCCTCTCTATCCCTTCTGCGGTTCATCCACATACCCTGCAAGCACGGCCCTCCTGCTCCTCCTCCACCCTCATGGCATCAATCGCAGGAGCCACTCTCAGCATGAAAGCATCCACTCCTCCCCCAACCTCTCTTCCTCCCTCATCCTCTCCCCTTCCTTCATCCCCTCTCCCTTCCCGGGAAGTCCCACAAGGTGCCATGAACCAGGGAACAGCCGAAAGAGCCATGACCTGCCAGATGGCCAAAGCTGATTGATCTGATTCTGCTGCTGTTGTTGCTGCTGAAGCTGCTGATGGTGCTGCAGATGATGGTTTGTGAGGGGCGGGGGGATACCAGCGATCCTTTCACAAAGGAAAATCGCAGAGCCACATCATTCCCACCTTCCCCATTTCCTTCTTCTGACCCTGCTTCTCCCTTCCCCACTGCTCCTCCTTTTCCTTCCCCCCCACCCCAGCACCATCCAGCAGCATCCGATACTCCCCCGTCCACTCCCGCCCCTCTTCCAGCGCCATCAGCGCCTCAAACGGCGTCACCACCGGCGCGTAGAACGCCCTGCTGCCACCGCTGCTCCCGCTGCTTCCAATGCTACCACGGCTGCCGATCCCATCCAGCAGCACCCTCTCCGCACATGCCACCAGCACATCACACTCCGACTCCCTTTGTACTACCAGTCAACACAGGATCCCTTTGTACCTCCACGTATAAGCCTCATCCACAGGATTCCTAGTCGACTCAAGAGTCACCCCTCAGTAACTGCACCACAGCCTCCCTTTGTACTTCCACATGTAAGCCTCATCCTTATCAACACTGTACCCATCCACCAGCTCTCTATTCACACTGTGCATCTTCTCTCGAACGTTCTTCGGTCGCTTCTCCGAAAAGCAAGCGCATGGCACCCCGCTTCTCGCCTTCCTCACGTGCACCATAGGAATTTCTGGCAACTCCTTTCTTTGCTTCTCCCAGTAGAGCGAGCGACGTGAGATGCAGTACAGGGCGAGAGAGGGACAGAATTCGCGTAGGGAAGCAAGGGTTTGCTGCTCGCATGTGTGGGTGGGGAAGAAGATTGCTCGCAAGTTTGGAGCCAAGATAAACGGAGGTCTTTCTTCTTGCTGCTGCCCCTCCTGCTCCTCCTCCTCCCCCCCCTCCTCCTGCTGCTGCTGCTGCTGCTGCAAAAGCTGTTGCTGCTGCTGCTGCTGCTGCTGCAGAATCTGCTGCTGCAAACGTTGCTGCTGCTGCAAAAGCTGCTGATGCTGTTGCTGCAGCTGCTGCGGCCGCTGCTGCGGCTTTTGCTGCCGCTGCTGCGGCCGCTGCCTCCGCTGCTGCTGCTGCTGCTGCTGCTGCTGCTGCTGCTGCCGCAGCTGTTGTGGCTGCTGCTGCTGCCGCTGCTGCTGCTGCTGCTGCTGCTGCTGCTGCTGCTGCTGCTGCTGCTGCTGCTGCTGCTGCTGCTGCTGCTGCTGCTGCTGCTGCTGCTGCTGCTGCTGCTGCTGCTGCTGCTGCTGCTGCTGCTGCTGCTGCTGCTGCTGCTGCTGCTGCTGCAAAAGCCGCTGTTGTAAATCCTGCTGCTGCGAAATCTGCTGTTGCAAACGCTGTTGCTGCTGCTGACGCTCCTGCTGCCGCTGCTGCTGCAAAAGCCTCTTATTGCGCTCCTGCATTTCCTCCACTGTAACCTCCCTCTCACCGTCATCCCGACGCTTCTCAACCTTCAAATCCACCTCAAACCGCTCCTCTCTCTCCACGACAATCCCGAGGCTGCGCAGGCTGCTCCACTCCGCATCAACCCCCTCTACAGGCACCCCATGCCTCACTATAAGCACCTCCACTGTTGGCGCTATAGTGCGCAACCATTCAACCCAGGAGAACTCAGCAGAGCTGCAGCGGTGCACACTCTGCCTGCCAAGAGAAAGTTCGGGTGAAGCTTGAGGGGACAATTCAGGAAAGTCCAGGTGGGAAAAATATTCGTCACTGCAAGAGTGGTGGTCTTTGGGAGGGCCGTTGATATAGGCCACTCGTACGGAAGCGAGGCGGAGGGAGGAGATGACAAGCCGCTGCTGGCCGTACAGCGAGAGGTGGTGGAGAGCGAGAAGTTCGGTGGTCTTGCAGGAGAGCACAAGCTGTTTTGCCATGGCTGAGAAGGTCGTGAGCGAGCGAGAGAGTGTGAGGGAGAGCGTGAGGCTGCTATGCGGGAAGTATAAGCGGACGGTTTGAGCCTTTGATAAGTTGAAACAGAATGAGCCGCCGCCACCGGGGCCGGAGGATGGGTCGTCCAAACTCCAGCTGTGATAGAGAACAAACTCCGTGAGCCGCGGTGTGACCGAGCCTAGATTCTTCATATCCACGTGGCTCCAATCCACGTGTTTGAGAGTCAAACTGCGCAGCGACTTGTACTGCTCAACCCAGCCTCCCTGGAGATACCACTTGCCCCGGCTGAGCTTCAGCCGCTGCAGAGCCGGGCAGTCAAAGAAGTGGGCCCAGGAATCCTCATCCTCTTCGTCCTCATAATCCTTATAATGGTCGTCAAACGACTCGGATTTGTCGACACGGCCGCGGAATTTGAGACTGAGGGAGGTGAGGGAGGTGAAGGGCTGGCTGAGCGGTGAGCAAAGGTTTTCGAGCTGCTCCATATCCGTGAAAGTGAGGGCGAGGGACCTGAGGCGGTGGCGCTGGCGCAGGAAGAAGTCGACGCTCTTGATCCACTGCGGGTGCAGCTCGTTGTATACCAGGTCGATGGGGTGGTGGGCCTACAGAGAGGGAGGGACGGATGGGATCGGTGGAGGAGAGAATGTGAGTGAGGGACGGGAAGTATTGGGATTGGATTGGGGTTGTCGGATAGGCTGTTTTAGGATCCGCTTACAACCAATCAGGACCTGTTTTAAGAATCTCATATCTGAAAAAACAAGGGGGGTGGAATTTGGAGGCATGCGTTTCGAAGCCAAGGAGAACAAGTGCAGAGCGGAGCAGAGCAGCAGAGAAGAGAGCAGAGCAAAGTAGAGCATTACTCACGGAGAAGGAGAGCACGAGGGCGAGGAGCCTCTTGCTGGCCATGGCGCAGCACAGCAGGGCCCACCCACTCCCATAGCTCCTCGCGTTCTTCCAGTGCTGCCCGGCTGCTGAAAAATCAGGGTCCACAAATCTCACAGGCAGGTTCCTGTCCATGGAAACTGCCCATGGAAACTTTCGCCTGCCCCGGACAAGGGGAGTCTCAGGGTAGGAGGAGCCGGGAGGCAGTAGCCGGTAGCAGAAGACTTTGTGCCAGAGATACGCCGGCAGCATGTCCATGGGATCACTGAGGGCGGCGGCTGGAAGGATGGATGGGTGAGATGGGTGAAATGGGTGGGAAGGCGATTAATGGGGAAAGAAAAAGGGGAATGATTTGGAATGGAGCTGGTTTTTGTAGCGGCTGATAATTCAAGCCATGAAAACGGGTCTAAACGGCGAGAGCACCCGCGAAAGGCTTTGAAATGGAGCTATTTTTGAGTTTATTTTTAAGGCTCCTAAAAACGAGCGTTTTTCTCTGAGTTCTCCGTTCGAGCACCTCCGCTCGAGCTCGGAAAGTGCTCAGCAGCTCTCCTAACGCCCACCTCACCAGCGCTTAAAAGACTTCATGGCGCAAAGAATGAGAATGACGTCGCGGAGTTGCGAGTTTATCTACTCTACTCTACTCAATGCTCTTACTTTCAGTTACTTTTTCCAGTATGAGGGACGGAGAAAAAGAGGGAGGAAACGACGGAAAAAGCGGCGCGAGATGGAACGGATAGGAATTAACGGTGATTGGAGCATGGACTGGATCCAAATGAGGAGGAAAACCACTGAATGAGGTGCGTTGTTTCGCAGTGCGCGTATAGCTCGCGAGGAAGAAAAAGCAGGAGGGAAATAGGACGGAGAGAAAAGAAGGAGGTGGAGGGTAGAGGAACTAACTGACACAGAATGTCTAGGATAGTTCAAACTGTCAAATGCTTATTTTTAGATAAGTTATTAGAGCAGGGAGGTGAAAACTATGTGCTTTTCGTTTAAAGTGTGAAGATGAGGTGAAAAGTGGGTTGTTGCGTCGCGAACCAAAAGCAGCCCTTGCCTTCTGGATCAGCATTGATCTTCTGTCTCTTCTCCTCCCGCCGCTCTCTCAGTTCGCCAGTAGGCTGCAGCGCTGCCATGAAAAATGAAGTTTCTTAGGCTCCCGCTTCGCCAGTGGTAATCATAAACTTCTTAAAAAGATGCTATGTATTCAATGCAAGAACCATGCATTTGCAGTCGTCACTTGAACTCGCGCGCACTCGTCGCGGCTATGGTTCCTAGCTGCCTGGTGTCGATGTCTGTGAAACAGCTCTGGCTAATGTGTGCAGCACAGAAAATGCGATATGACCCTTTGAAGCACGTCACCTCACTTTCGTTCGTTTCGCATTCACTTCGATCCGAAGAGGTTCATTCTTTTGCACAATGGTATGAAACGGTGAAGCGTTGATAGAAATTACGAACAACGAGTCGCCCCTTCCACTCAACGGTCAACAACTCCGTTGCTCAGGGCGTCGATAAACTCGCGAAATTTCGCAAAATTCTTGATGGCAATGGTAACGTGCCCGAAAATGCAGAAATTGTTATTGTGTACAGTAAAAACATAAAATATTCCTACAAAGTTAGCAATGCAATCAATGAGGTTCCTCATAATGTTCTAGCACTACTGGACATACCCTGCTGCACGGCCCTCCCTCTCCTCCACCACCCTCACCGCCTCAATCGCATAGCGTTATAGCCACTTTCGGCATGAAATATTCCACTCCTCCACCACCCATCTTCATCCCTCATTCATCCCCATTATCCATTCCCTGAGTGCTCGCTCCCATCCCCCCTTCCTCCCTGATTGCCCTTCCACCCTCTTCCCCAGGCACCACACCAGGCACCAAGAACCAAGCCACCTTCATCCCATTATAGTCACACTGTCACACTGTTACACGCTCCAACACTCGCCCCTCCAATCATCCTTCCCTATCACTGCTGCGGTTCATCCGCATACCCTGCAGGACGGCCCTCCCTCCCCTCTACCACCCTCACCCAATCAATCGCCGAAGCCACTTTCGGCATGAAAGCACCCACTGCTCCCTCATTCCCCCCCATCCCCCCCCTTCCTCTCTCTCACCCCTGTTAGCCATTCCCTATGTACTCAGCACCTTACCCTCCCCTGCTTCTCCTTCAACCCCCCCTGTTCGCCCTTCCGCAGGAGTCTCACCAGGCACCAGGCGCCATGAACCAGGGCACCTGCAGCCCCTTATAGTCACACCACAGTGCCAGGAACCCCGACCCGTGATCCTTTCACAGTGACGGGGGGGGGAAACCAGCAAAAACGCCCTGCTACCACCGGTGCTACCACCACTCCCACCCACCACCACTGCTGCCCTGCCCCATGCCATCCAGCAGCACCCCCTCTGCACATGCCACGAGCACCAGCAGCGCACATACCATCCAGCAGCATCCGATACTTCCCCGTCCACTCCCGCCCTTCCTCCAGCGTCATCATCGCCTCAAACGGCGTCACCATCGGCGCATAAAACGCCTTGCTACCACCGCTGCTGCGATCGCTCCCACTGCTGCCCTGCCCCATGCAATCCAGGATTACCCCCTCCGCACACGCCACCAGCACCAGCACGTCACACTCGGAGAAGTTCGCGAGCTTCTCAAGCGTGATCCGCCGCCTGATTGCAATTACATACCCCTTCTTCCCCGCGGCTATCACAACAGACCGGAGAGCGGTGACCGCATCCGGCAGTCCCGCATCGTTAGTTATAATGCATTATTATTCTACACCACACCCTTTGACATGCCTGCAACTACGAATGCTAGAGGCGGTCCGAGCTGTATTCGGTCTTCCACAGCCTCCCTTTGTACTTCCACATATGAACCTTATCGGCAACAACACTATACTTGAGTGATTTTTTAGTCGATTCACGAGTCACCCTCAGTATCTGCTCCACAGGCTCCCTTTGTACTTCCACATATATGCCTCTTCTTTATCAACACTGTACCCATCCACCAGCTCTCTATTCACACTGTGCATCTTCTCCCGCACGTTCTTCGGCCGCTTCTCTGCAAAGCAAGCGCATGGCACCCCGCTTCTCGCCTTCCTCACATGCACCATCGGAGTCTCTGGCAACTCCTTTCTTTGCTTCTCCCGGTAGAGCGAGCGATGTGAGATGCAGTACAGGGCGAGAGAGGGACAGAATTCGCGGAGGGAAGCAAGGGTTTGCTCCTCGCATGTGTGGGTGGGGAAGAAGATTGCTTGCAAATTTGGAGCCAAGATAAACGGAGGTCTTTCTTCTTGTTGCTGCCCCTCCTGCTCGTCCTCACCCCCGTCCTCCTGCTGCTGCTGCTGCTGCTGCTGCTGCTGCTGCTGCTGCTGCTGCAAAAGCTGCTGCTGCAAACGTTGCTGGTGCAAAATCAACTGCTGCAAACGTTGCTGCTGTTGTAAAACCTGTTGCGGCTGCAACTGCCGCTGCTGCCGCTGCCGCTGCCGCGGCCGCTGCTGCCGCGGCCGCTGCTGCTGCCGCTGCTGCTACAAAAGCCGCTGCTGTAAAGCTTGCTGCTTTAAAATCTGCTGCTGCAAGTTTTCCCGCTACTGCTGCCGCTGCTGCAGTAGAAACTCCTCCACTGGAACCTCCTTCTCACCATCATCCCGCCGCTTATCAACCTTCAAATCCACCTCAAACAGCTCCTCTCTCTCCACGACAATCCCAAGGCTGCGCAGGCAGAGCCACTCCGCATCAACCCCCTCTACAGGGACCCCATGCCTCACTATAAGCACCTCCACTGTTGGCGCTATGGTGCGCAGCCATTCAGCCTAGGAGAATGCAGCAGAGTTGTGTACGCTCTCCTTGTCAGGCGAAAGTTCAGGTAAAAACTGAAGGGACAATTCAGGAAAGTCCAGGTAGGAAGAGAATTTGTCATTGCGTGGGTGCACGTCTTTGGGAGGGCCGTTGAGATAGGCAACTCGCACGGAAGCGAGGTGGAGGGAGGAAATGACAAGCCGCTGCTGGCCGTACAACAAGAGGTGGTGGAGAGCGAGAGGTTCCGCGCTCTTGCACGAGAGCACGAGTTGTTTTCCCATCGCCGGCGGAGTGGCGGATCAAGGTACCTGAGGTGCTCCTTGAGTGGCGAGTCAAGGTATCTGAGCTGGTCCTTGTCCGTGAAGGTGAGGGCGAGGGACCTGAGGCGGTGTTGGCGAAGGAAGGATTCGACGCTCTTGATCCACTGCGGGTGCAGCTCGTTGAATACCAGTGCGACGGGGTGGTCGGCCTGTAGAGAGAGTCAAGGGCGAAGGAACGGAGGCACCAGAAGGTTGGTTTGAGGACTACTAACCCGCTCTAGGAATTTGAGATCGAAGCGTGATTTAAATAGTGCGACGATTTTGATCCACTAGGGTGCACCTCGATGTAATCAGTGCGATGGGGTGGTGGGTTTGCGTGTCAGAATCAAGCAGCAGGGATGATTGAACTATGAAAGAGTTGGGTACAAATATGAAACCCTAAAGTGGGCTGTACCCCATATTGGCTACCCCACTACAGCCTTAACATATATAGCAGATATAACATTTGACACACCCCCATAGGCAAAGTGGGGGAGAGCAAGGGGTCACATGACCAGTCAAGAGAAGCAAAGCAAGCTCAGGGTGGATCACAACGTCAACACACACACTGAGCACAAGCAAAGGGCCACAAGGCCAGTTCACATGCAGAGGTATATATGCAACAACAACAGCACAGTGATCTCTACCTATCAGAACAGGCATGCAGGTATATATATATAGATCACAGTACAAGCAAAGTCTACAGCAAGTGAGGCAAAGTGGGCACAAGGCCTAACAAAGTGCAGAAACGCTGATGATCACCAGACGGAAGTGCCTTGGTAAATATATCAGCAGTGTTGGCCCAAGTGGCCACGTGAGCAAGGCGAAGCTGACCACGCTGCTGCAACTCTCGAGCCAGGAAGTAACGGAGAGCAATGTGCTTCGTTCTGTGCTCCAGTCTGTGCTCCTGACACAAGGCAATGGCGGCCTTGTTGTCGACGTACAGCACTGGAGGAGAACGAGGCCGCTCTCCCAAGTCGGTCAGCAGGTAGGTGAGCCAGCGTAACTCCTGTGCAGCCATGGCTGTGGCGTAGATCTCAGCCTCACAACTGGAGCTGTGAACAGAAGACGAGCGTGTAGAACGCCAAGAAACTGAACCAGAGCCAAGGCTGAAGGTGTAACCCTGTGACGACCGCTGCGTAGCCTGGTCGTCAACCCAAGAAGCGTCTGAGTGCCAAGTGAGGACAACTGCGCTCCGCCCTCCAAGCACAAGCCCCATGCCCGATGTACCGCACAAGTAGCGCAGTACCCTCTTCGCAGCATCCATGTGCACCTTTCGGTGCCGACCAGGAGCCACGTAGCGAGCCAGAAGGCCAAGAGGGTACGCAAGGTCAGGTCGAGTGCAGGTCATCAGGTACATGAGGCAGCCCACTAGCTCTGGGTACGGGCCACTCGGCTCTACGGACTCGTCCGAAGGTGGAGCTGAGAGCGAGTGGCCTGTAGCCAGAGGAGTGTGCTGTGGCGAGGACCAGGTGAAGCCGAAGCGCTGAAGGACCTGCTGCACCATGTGTGACTGAGTTAGTGTGATGGTGCGGCGTGCTCTGTCCCGGGTGATCTGCAAGCCAAGGTAGCTGCGCAGTTCACCCAAGTCTGTGCACGTGTGTCTCTTCTGCAGCTCCGACTTCACCAAGGCGAGAGCCTCAGTGTCAGCAGTGGCAAAGACCAAGTCGTCGACGTACACGAGGATGTAGAACGGCGGCAGCGACGTGTCGGTGCGCAGAAACAGCGACGGGTCAGTAGTCGACGGAGCAAACCCAAGAGCCGCAAGTGTAGTCCTCAGTGTGTCGTGCCACTCACGTGGCGCCTGGCGGAGACCGTAGACCGGCCGCCGGAGGCTCCACTGGGTACCAGGAGGGAGCGACCCAGTGAAGCCAGGAGGGCGGCGCAGCCAGATCTCCTCGTGCAGGCTGCCCTGTAAGAAAGCTGTGCTGAAGTCAAGAGAGTGAAGCTCGTAGTCACGCTGAGCGGCAACGTGCAGCAGTAACCGAAGAGTGGTCATCTTCGGGGTGGGGGAGAAGGTCTGAAAGAAGTCTACTCCCTCTCGCTGACTGAAACCTCGAGCAACGTAACGAGCCTTGAAGACAGGCGGAGAACCTGGCGGCCGCTTCACCCTGAAAACCCACATGCCACTGACGATGTTCGCCCCAGGAAGGGGAACCTCATCAACGTAGGTGCCTGTGGACTTCCAGGATGCCATCTCTGCGTCCATGGCTGTCTGCCACTGAGAGGAGTACTCACCCGCGATCGCCTCAGCGTAAGAGCGCGGGGTCGGGATGTCTGGTGCATCCGGGTCTCCCTCAGGGGCAAGCAGCATGGACACGAGATGAGGCGCAGCGGCTGCAAGACACTCAAGGTCCTCCTTCCTGTCCTCAAGGACGTCCGTGCCAAGAGCACACTCACCCCCGACGGACGGAGGACAGACAGACTCAGAGTCAGCAACAAGACTAGCGGCGTAGTCTAGACGACAGGCAGCAGCAAAGTCAACAAGCTCAGCGACTAAGGCAGACGCAGCAGCAGACTCAAACGACGGGTCAGTGACAACTGTGGCTAGCAGACGCGTGACAGTAGGGTGAGCAGCACGGGTGCAGTCAGACTCAGGCTCAGGAACGGTAGGCAGAGAAGACGCAGGAGGGGACGGCAGGAGAACACGCTGCGGAGGAGAGGAAGGACGACGGACTACGAGGTGGGTGCCGGTGACAGCCGGCTGACGCGAACGAGGAACGCGACGACCAGGACGACCAGAACGGACAGGCGAGACAGGACGCGACGCAGGCTCACGACGCTCATTAAGACCCCCTGACTGCTCAGTGTAAGGAGAAGGAGCAGGCAGCGGTGAGCCAGGCTGTAACGGAAGACCAGTAGACGAAGGGAGACTAAGAACCTGGCGAGGTACAGAGTCAGACGGTGGCTGAGACGACGGAGGCGGTGGAGCGAAGAACAGGCGCGGCTGAGCAGCGCCACCAGCACCAGCAGCTCCAGCACCTCCAGCAGCTCCAGAACCCTCAGCGCCAGCTCGTCCAAGACCAGCTCCACCAGCAGCAGCACCCCCAGAACCGGCACCTCCAGTCCCAGGGTCTCCAGTCGCAGTGTCTCCAGTAGCAGCACCCCCAGACCCAGGGTCTCCAGCAGTAGTACCCTCAGCCGCAGCACCTCCAGCCCCAGCAGCTCCAGTACCTCCAGTACGAGCACCTCGGGGACCAGCACCACTCCCAGCTCCAGTGACGCCAACAGACGTACCTCCAGCGGTAGAGCCCCGAGCTCCAGAAGCGCGACCCTGACGGCGACCGTACCAGTCGTGCAACTGCTGTGAGGTGAGAGGCACACGCGGACGAAGGCGGCTACTCCAAGGAGACCGCGCAACAGCAGACTCAGAACCCTCAGCGCCAGCACCCGCAGCAGCTCCAGAACCTCCAGTGCCAGCACCCGCAGCAGCTCCAGAACCTCCAGTGCCAGCACCCGCAGCAGCTCCAGAACCTCCAGCTCCAGCACCCGCAGCAGCTCCAGAACCTCCAGCAGAAACAACTCCAGTAGTAGAGACACCAGCACCAGCGCCTCCCACAGTAGGGCCCCTAGCTCCAGCAGCACAACACAGACGGCTAGCGTACCACTCACGCAGCTGCTGTGGGGAGAGAGGGAGTCGACGACGAGAGTGCAGCAGCGAGGAACCAGCAGAGCGACTGCGGAGACGGCCGCCCCAGGGAGACTGCTCACCAGACGCCTCAGCGCCCCCAGGTGCAGCACCCCCAGACTCAGTACCCCCAGGCTCAGCACTCCCAGACTCCTCACGTCCAGGCTCAGCACCTCCAGGCTCCGCACCCCCAGGCTCCGCACCCCCAGGCTCAGCACCCCCAGGCTCCGCACCCCCAGGCTCAGCACCCCCAGGCTCCGCACCCCCAGGCTCAGCACCCCCAGAAGCAGTACCCCGAGCAGGACCACCCTCAGCAGGACCTGAGTCACCAGTGACCTCAACCGGCGCAGTCAAGGGAGGAGGGTCTACCCGAGACACACCTGAAGGAGCAAGACCGGGAGTGGGGAGGGGGTCTACCTGGGGAGCACCTGGAGCGAGGAAGAACGGCGGGGGGGGGAGAGGGGCAGCGCGGTAGGGGAAGAGACGGTAAAAGGGAACCGACTCGTCGAACGTGACGTCCTGGGAGGGGAAGACACGGCGCGAGGTGGGGTGGTAAAACTGCCAACCAGGCGCGTCAGGGACAAAGCCAAGGAAGACACAGGGAACAGCGCGGGCGGAGAGCTTGTCCACGGTGGTATCGCGGACAAAGGCACGAGCACCCGAGACCCGGAAACGCGACGCATCGCCAACCTTTCCCGTCCACAGCAGTGTGGGCGAGGTCTCCGGCAAGGAGACACGGGGCCAGAGGTTGAGCTGATGCGCGGCGTACCGGACCGCAAACGGCCACAGAAAATGGGGGGCAGCCGCATGGATCATGGAGGTACGAGCGACCTCCATGACTAAGCCAATGCGGCGCTCAGCATCCCCATTCTGCTGCGGAGAGGCCGGAAGCGTGAACGACTGGGTGATGCCGTGCTCCTCACAGAAGGCTGCCAAGAGGTCGGAGGAAAACTCACCACCTCTGTCAGAGTGCAGACGCAGGACGGGAAACTCCGTCCCGAACCGCTCGCGGAGCTGGAGACGAGCAGCGCGGATCCAGGGGATCAAAACATCAGGGACCTCACCCTTGGTGCGCAAGGGGA